GAATAGTGGTCGTCGCACTTGCTTGTGTTGAAGCCATTTGGGAGCTTGAAGGTCGAAGTTGTCGCTGTGGTGCCGTTGATTGCTGACGATTCGGGCAGTGTGTGCGCGGGTGCCCTGAAGTCTTGCAGATGTGGCAGAAAGGAGGTACTATCTTCGGTTGCTGCTGTCGGTTGTTATAATTGCTGTGTCGTCGTTGAGTGTGGAATGCGAACTCTGATACTGTCGTTTTCTTCCTGTGTCGTTCTTCCTGCAGGTCCATATCTTGCTGCTCGGCATGTATTTCGGCGCAGAGTGCAGCTTCAGAGATTCTTCCGTGGGCTCGAAGAATGGCTTTGGTGGCGCGCCACTGAGGACCAAGCCCACCAATGATGACTGTCACGAAGGCGTCTTCAGAGATTGACCCTCCGCATCGAAGCAGCTTGTCGCGCAGTTCGCGACATCGGCTGATATACGCCAGTCCTTTTTCTCCTGGTTTCATTTCAACTGTCGACAACTGCGCCATTAACCTGCTCTGGTTTACACTGTCTGTTGCTTGATACAGGTTCTTCAGATGGCTGTACGCGAGCTCCGCCGAGTTGCCGAAGGTCCGGTAAGAGCGAATGTTCTGCTGCTGAGTTGGTGTCACGTTCCTCAATAGGATTGTATACGCCATCATTGATTGATACGTATACTGCTGCTTTTCATATTGTGTCCCGTTGGCTGGATACTGCAGGGACCCGTCGAAGAAGCCGAGTATCTGCGCGCCCTCCATCATCAGCTCGAATTCAAAGGACCAGGTAAAGAAGTCTTTGCCGTCGAAGGGTCTTGACGTTTGCAGTTTTAAGACGTGTGCAAACTGCGACTGAACTTGAAGTGCGTCCAGTGGTCTTTCTTGTCCAGGTGAAGGTTGCGGGTGGGGCACGAAGCTGATTGACCCGCGCTCGTACGGAGCAAAGGTAGGTTGCTGCTGCTGGTTTCCTCGCGCATATGACGACCCATCAAGACTCATGGGTGTCGCTCCGTTGTTGCTGTTGTGTGTTTGTGCAGGTCCCGACTGCTGGTGTTGTTCGTAGAAGGACATGAAGGAGAAAAATTTCTCCATCATGTTCTGGTCAAAGTCCGAAGGGTGGTTCATGGGGGTCTCGGTTGACGTTCCTCTTGGTCTTGTTGCCGTGCCTTCTTCTGTCTGCAGGCCAGAGGCTGGCGGTGGAGTAGGAGTAGTGCCCGAGGAGCCATTAGGGGAGCTCCTTTCCTTGTTTGTTGCCATGTCTTGTAATGATCTTGAAAAAAGGAGTAGAGTTTCCCTTGTCAGCTCTCATACCATGTTGGGCTGAGATAGCCCCTTAGGATCTTTGCAAGGGATAACTCTAGGTGAAGTAGTTGTAATAGCGGAAGCGTTTAGTGAAGAATTTGAACCGACCTTGCACTGGTGTGTGAGAGCAAAGTTGATTGAATTAAACAAACAAATACAAGGATTTATATATAAGAGTACAGGGAATACGAATAGATATGTAGATAACTGTATTGCTGTTGCGGTTCGATACAGTGCGACTCGGGCAACTGCTCTGTAACGAGTCAGTTGTGTGTCCTTAACTGTCGCGCTGTAATTGTCGAGTCAAAGGTCAGCGACCTTTGACTTTCTCGTAACCTCCAGGCGGTTACCCTAACCTCCGAGGTTGACTCGATGCTTCGATTGGGACTGCTTCGCTTGGTGCCTTGGGTTTTGATACGACAGAAGCGCACTTAGGACTTATTGTTTCCAACACAAGAGAGTGCTACATTATCAACATATATACAATTTAGCCATGTACAAGCTAGATTAGTAAGTACAACCTACCTACAACATGACCAATGCCGTGTACAACCTAGCAATTGTCCTAGTAGGAGAAGTATAACCAAAATGTACAACCTTACCATGTCCCGACCAAGCTGATAGGAGCTGGTTGTTATGGACAGCCTAAAACCACCAGAGCTACTACAGTTTTCATATACGTACAAGTGGAGAGCTCACTACAAGGGGCGTTGGAGGGTCATCGCTGGCACGCAAATCGAACAGTCAGATGACCCTCAAACGCCCCAAGGGTTTCCCCCTCTCCTGCATCCGTCCGTCCACTCCAAACCCTGTGTCTCCTGTCTCTCCCCCTTCACACCTGCTCCTGCTCCAGCGGTGCCAGCTCATCCATCATATGCTGCACCCGCCTGCACGTCAGGTTCACCAGGGGTTCTATCCCAAGCGCCTTTGCCGCCTTGAAAATCTCCATAAGACCATCACCATCAACTTTAGCCATGAAATCCTCCTCCCACTCCTGCCTTCCTGCTGAACCATCCATCTCCCCTGTGCCGTATCCATGCCCATTGCCATCCTCATTACTGGTGGTTTCGCTAATACCCGTCCGTTCCACCTCCACCTGATGCTCGCAGAACTGAATAGCCTTTGCCACGCCCTGGCTTGTCGCATCCACAGCTATAACAGGCAGATCGTCGCCTGCTGTCGCCCTGCGACTGCTGCTGCAGCTGCTGCGACTGTTGCTGCCATTTAAGGCACTTGCGACTGTCGCCTGCTGTCGCCCTGCAGCTGTTGCTGCAGCTGCTGCGGCGTTAGGGTCATTGTCGCTGTGTGGAGGAGCAGCGGCGGACTCGCGGTCGCAAGCGATCGCCTGTCGCACGGGGTCCATGTGCATGGCGACTTCCTCTGCGACAGGCAGCACGACGCGATCCACGCTTAGCAGGCGGACTAACGAGCCCGTCATGGTTGGACGAGAGAAGACGAGAGAACGTAGGAAAGAGGCAAAGATGTGGCGAATAGAAGGAACAGGAAACCGGGAGGCGTTTGACAAGGATATCAGGAAGGCAAACAAACGAGCGGTACGCAACGAAGAAAGCACGTAAAAAAAAGTGGAGAAATAATCAGAAACGGAGAATGAAACAATGAAACTAACGAAGTCCGGGAGGAAGTATAAGTACGGCAAGAAGATCAAATTGATCAAGAAGCGAGGGAAACGAAGCCAATACCCATCGAAAGGCGTGAACAGAGGCGTGCTTCTCGCGAGAAGGACTCATCCACCCGCACAAGTTCACAAGGTATGCGTGCGGAGTTGCTAACACAAGCTGTCTCCCTCTCTCCTCCGCGCCCTGCGTCGCGCCCTAGGGTGCCACCACTGGTGGCAGCAGCAGCAACCACTTACTACCCAGTCATCTAACTCGAGAAATACCATGCTACCTCCAATCAAACATCATCTTCAGCAGCAGCCTCGTGCGCCACCTCGACATGCACTCCACGATCAACTAGCGCGGAGTTTGGAGAGCTCCAGGAGCGCTTAGTAGTAAATGGAAAAAAAGTCGTGGCACATGCTCCGCCGCGTCGGGTCGCGGGCTTTCAGCGGGGCGGGGGGCGAGACGGAAGGTGCGCGCCAGGTTCGTCGGGCCATACATTTGACGTGGCACGGAAGCGATCGTTCAAGCACGAGACGCGCGATAACGAGCGGTGGCGCGGCAGCGTTGGCTGAAACCCTACAATGCCCGAAACACATGACACGACGACAGACTTTCTCGGATTTCCAGCCGGTCACTGAAGCCTGAAGGCATCCAAATGCCTCACTGGATTTGCGCTGCGCCCCATCGGCTGCGCAGGCGACCCGACACGTCTCCTGTGCATGTACGGGGTTACTTGCTTGGAGCAGCCGCTGCTGTGAGAACAGGCCAGCCAGTGTGCACTGTGCTAGGTTGCATGGTGACTGTCCAGTCCAGTTGTGCACCTTGACTGGCGGGATGGCCAGGCCACCAAGAAGCTTGTGGTGAGTGAGGTGATGGTGCAAGAGCGAATGTGTTCTCCAGGCCAGCTGGTCATGGGCGGGATGAAGGCGTGAGTTGCGGTGGCAAATTCCAGCAAGTTTATCGAGGCGCAAATGACTTGTTAGGGCGTGTAACTTCGTAGCGACCAACCCAAAAATACGACCATTGGGCGGCTCTGACGATTGCGAAGAAAATAGGGTAACACTCTACGCGGTAGTCACACTGACTAGAGAACACTTTCAGGTGCTATTTTCATCTACTTTTGTGTCAGACTACGCGACCTGTACTACTACCAGTCCTGGGCAGGGGTGGTGTTTGGACTTCCAGTTGTTTCCTCCGAATGTGTTTCGATAAGGCCTATGCACTTTGCTAAACACCACTCTCTCTCTCTCTTTGCCCAATATTCCACACTCCGTCCGAATGCTAAAACTTGGATTCAACCTTTCCATTCTAAATACGGGAGTAGTTAAGGGTGAGTGGCCTTCAGATCGCGAACAGAATGGTCATTCTGTTCGAAATGTGTGGCGGGGTTCGTTCAGACGTTACACGATTCGCACTCGCATGACCCGACCATTTGGTCGGATTTTAGGCATGGTCGCTACAAAGGACACGCCCTTACTGCGCGATTCCTTACCAGACATTCCCCCTATTTCGTACTTATCCATCATCACAGACATGTATGTGTATTAGGCATGAGCAAAGAGCCGCGGTTAGGTTCGCTACGAACCTAATCTCAGCTTTGTTTTGTTCAAGAGGTTCGTCACGGGCCGAACCTGTTTGTCATCGGACCGGCTCGGCAGTTCGACCGGTTCGGTTTTTAGCTTATAACTAGGGGCACAGAGGGACGGGGAGGGGTTACGAAAGGTTAAGAAGGGCTTAAATGGCCGATTCGGTTCGGTTCGGTTCGGTATTCCTGCTATAATACCGAACCTCGAACCGGCATGAGACCAGAACGGTTCGGAATGAACCGGTTCGGTTCGAGCACAAACCGGTTCGGTGAATGCGCTATAGTGGCCGAACCGGTTCGGTTCGGTACTTTGCTCATGCCTAATGTGTATCTAGGATGTCTGACTTGAATCCGGATTTTGATGGAACCACACAGTTTGTTACATTATGTTACATTCATCTGATGAATCTTCCTATCTGAGGTAGTACACAACACAACCATCACACGAAGAAGCATCAGTGATTAGGTGTGTCAGCAGCACAGAAGCACAGCACCCGTCGTTTCACAAGTTCACCTCCCTCAACCCACCACTCATCCGTAGCTCCCCCCCACCATCACCAACATCAGCAGCTTCCACAGTAATCTCCCGCCTCAACAAAAACCGGCTCTCCCTCCCCTGCTCGCCCTCCCCACCCCCTCCTACCTTCTCTCCAAACTCCCCCACCTGCTCTCGCCCCTCCTCCACACCACCCTTCACCTCACCACTCCCACCGCCGCTCCCACCGCCGCTCCCACCGCCAACCCCACCGGCTGGCTGCTGCAGCAGCAGAAGGAGCAACAAGGGGAGCAGCACAGCAAGGCCTGATACCCCGACAAGGACTTTCTTGAGGAGGGAGGACTCTTGTGCGAGGAGCTGTGCCTCCTGTGCCAGCTGCTGGTCATCTGCTTGGATCCGCGTGAGCGTGGCTCGTAGCGTTTCCACATCGTTAGCCAGTGCTGCTTGCCTCTGCGGAGAGGATGCAGGAGAAGATCAGAAAGCAGGCGAGAGGAAGCAGGAGAGGGGGCAAGGAAGAGAGCACGGGAGAGACCGAGGGGAGCAATAGAGAGCAAGAGTGGGAGAGAGCGAGACAGTGAGTTTGTGTACGAGGAGTCTCAGAGACAGAGTCATGCATGCGCCTCCTGTGCCAGCTGCTGGTCGTCTGCCTGGATGCGCGTGAGCGTGGCTCGTAGCGTGTCCATGTCCCGTGCCAGTTCTGATTGCTTCTGCGGAAGGGATACAGGGCGTAAGAGAGCACAAGTGGGGGTAAGAGGGCGCCGGGGGGAGCAGGAGGGAGCAGGAGAGAGCAAGAGAGGGAGAGAAAAGGCACGTGAGCTCATGTATGAGGCGCCCCAGAAACAGAGTGTTGCATGGGGGACTGGGATTCCTGTGCCATGCCCCAAAATAAGACACACGCAAACAACTGCAGATTATCACCCCGCCAAGGTCTTCACATCCCATGTGCTTCACACCCCATGTGCGTCACAATACCACAATATCCCGTCAGAAACACATTACCCCATGTCGACCACATTACCTTCTCTCCCTCTCCCACGGCCTTCTTCGCTCGGTCCACCTCATCCGCCAGCCTGGCAGCCAGCTGTTGCCCCTCCGCCACCTGGGCCTCCAGCTGTGCTGCCACCTGTCGCCCCTGCGCCACCTGCGTCAGCAGGTCCCCTGCCCTGCCTGCCATGCCCTCCAGCTCCTGCTCCGCTCGCTCTGCATCGGCACTGCAGGGAGGCAAACCGGAGGGAGGGAGAGCGGGGAGGAGTGAGAGTCATTAGGAGCCCTGCCAGTCATGCCCCATCATGCCCTCCCATCCTCCGCCCTGCCTGCCATGCCCTCCAGCTCCTGATCCGCTTGCTCTTTGTCTGCGCTGCAGTGGGGCGGATGGAGGGGGGGGCGGGAGGCGGAAACGCAGGGGTCGTGGAATGGGGATCAGGTATGAGTTGGCAGTGCTGCGGAGGTACGCAAGGGAGCATACACTCCCACTCCCCAACGGATCATACACTCCACTATCCCCCATATTTCACTGTGCTTCTCAGTTCCCTCGACCAGTCGAGACTATCCCAATCCCACCCCACCGCACCCCACCCCACCCCATCTCCCACCCCTCTCACCGCAGGGCGCCCACAACAGCCTTGGCCTCCAGGGCGGCCCTTAGCTGCCTGCCACCATCCTCCAGCACCGCTTCCAGCTCCCTCTCCCTCCCCTCCCAGGCCGGCAGCAGAGCAGGGAATGGGAAGTGCAAGGGCGAGCACCGACTTTCACACTCCCTCAGGGCTCATAGCACAGGCTCCACTCCTTCCTGATCTCACTGTGCTTCCAGATTCTCTCAACCAATTGCGCCCAGCCCATCCCATCCCCACCTTATCCCACCCCACCTCACAACCCTCTCCCCTCTCACCGTAGAGCGCCCACAACAGCCTCGGCCTCAAGAGCAGCACGCAGCTGCCTGCCACCATCCTCCAGTGCCGCTTCCAGCTCCCTCTCCCTCGCCTCCGCCGCTGCCACCTCAGCTTTCAGCTCCGCCACCTCATTCCTTAGCGTGCTGACTAGGCGCGTCATATTCTCCGCCATCTCACCCGCCGCCTTCCTCGCAGCTTCCTCCCTCTGCTCCGCATCCTTCAGCTGCCCAGTCAGCAGCCCAACCCGCTCTCTCACAGCCGCAACCTCCTGCTTCTCTGCATCCACCTTAGACTTGAGAATCTCGCTCTGTCTCGTGACAAACGCGAGCCGTTCTTTCGCGGCCTGTGCCGCCTCTGCTGCCCGCGCCTCCCTCTCCCGCCCCTGCTGGATCGTCTCCTCGAGCTCTTTCACGCGGGCCATGGCTGCTTGCGCCTCCCCGCTCCCTGCGTCCTTCTCGCTGCTCAGCTGTGATACCAGAAACTCCAGCTCTAATATCTGAATCGTGGTTGAGGGGGGTGATGGTGGCAGGGGGGCGGGGGGTGCAGGAGAAAGGATGAATGGGGCATGGTGGATTGTCCTGGCTTTTTTAGGCGCCTCAAAAGAAACTCCAGCTCCGCAATCTGGGTTGTGAATTGGGGAGGGGGGTGGCGGGGGGAGGGGGGGGTACAGGGTACAGGGTGCAGGGTGCAGGGTGCAGGGTGCAGGGTGCGGGGTGCGGGGTGCGGGGTGCGGGGTGCGGGGTGCGGGGTGCGGGGTGCGGGGTGCAGGGTGCAGGGTGCAGGGTGCAGGGTGCGGGGTGCGGGGTGAAGGGTGAAGGGTGAAGGGTGAAGGGTGAAGGATGGAGGATGAATGGGGCATGGTGGATAGCAGTCATACGTGAAACAACAGATTCAAGAACTGGGAGCAGGGGGGGGTAGATGACGGGTGACGGCAGTGGGTGGAGGACGGGAGGAGGGTGGAGGTTGAATGGGGCATAGTGCATGCGACATGGGCATGGGCATGGGCATGGGCATGGGCATGGGCATGGGCATGGCATGGCATGGCATGGGCATGGCATGCCATGGGCATGGGCATGGGCATGGCATGGGCATGGGCATGGGCATGGGCATGGCATGGCATGGGCATGGGCATGGGCATGGCATGGGCATGGGCATGGGCATGGCATGGCATGGGCATGGCATGGCATGGGCATGGGCATGGGCATGGCATGGGCATGGGCATGGGCATGGGCATGGGCATGGCATTGGCATGGGCATGGGCATGGCATGGCATGGGCATGGGCATGGGCATGGCCATGGCATGGCATGGGCATGGGCATGGCGCACCCACCACCCCATCACATACCCACCATCCCATCACCTCCTCACACTCTCCCCACTCCTGCAGCACCTGTGCGTCCAGAGCATCAGAGCGCTTCTGACCAGCTTTTACCATCAACTGCAATGCAACCCACTCTGTGACAGCACATCACCCATCACCCCACCCACCACCCCACCCACCACCCCATCACCCATCACCCCATCATCCCACAAACTCCCCCTCCCAGCAGCACCCTGTGCTTCCAGTGCATCAAACCGCTCCCCTGCACGTTTTAGACGTCTCAACAAAACCCGTACCTGCGCTTCCAGAGCATCAGAGCGCTCTTCTGTGACCGTTGCTGCTCTGCGCGCTGCTCCTGCCGCATCCATAGCCGCTTCTGCCAACGTCTGTCCGTGAGAATCGCGAGGGAGAGGGGAGACGGGTAGGCAAAGAAGGGTGGGGAGAGGGTGCAAAGTGGGGGCGAAGAGGGGTCGAAAAGGGGTTGAAAACGGGGCCAAGGGTGGGTGGACGGTTTAATCATATGGACGAGCATGCATGGCCGCTTCTGCCAATGACTGTTGGAAGGATTATCAAAGACTCTGACGTTTACCCCAACAACGTGTGCCAATCGTGCCAATCATGCCCCAATTGTTGCTGGGTACTATGCTCCAACAAATTGTGCCAGGGCATCACAGAACATGCCACAGCACAACACATTCTTTATCAGCATGAGGCAGCAATGAGAGGAGACACAGCAGCTGCGTCAGCACCGGCGGCAGCAAGCGTGAGACGGGAAAGACGGGGCGGAAGGGAGATAAGATAGCCGACCGACCGACCTTGTGGTGGTCGATTTGAACGCGGGCCGCTGCAGCAGCCTTGTGGAAGACAACCTGACAAAAAAAGATAGCCAGGGAGACACAGGAGGAGAGGACAGAAAGAGTGACATTTGAGTCGACTCAAAAGTCACCTTGGAAGACAGCCTGACCAAGAAGGACAGCCAGGGAGACACAGGAGGAGAGGATAGACAAAGTAGTTTTGGAAAGAAACACCACGAACGAAACTCCAGCATCTTTTTATCACTGACCATTATACCTCAATCACGAAGGCAGTGCTCTACGACGAGGCACACCAGCAGGAGAAAAGGCGCCTGAATTAAAACACGGCCCGACCGTCTCCCCACTGACTATCAGCTATGACGATCACACATTGGAGACAGCAAGCGGGAAGCCAACAGCCAGAGGGATGGTGGCTGCTGGCTGGGTGGCCTCCCCCTTGGAAGGCACTTGGCACTAGGCACTGCCTTCCGAGGCGAAGCAAGGCGGCTGGAAATTTAAATGGCCACTTCCCACGAATTCCCATACCTCAGAGACAGCGGGGTTTGAGTCGACTGGAAACTGAGGCAAGGCGGCGCAAATGAATGAATGAATGGCCGCTTTCCACTGATTGCCATGCCATACCTCGGAGACAGCGAGGGGGATGTCTGCACTGCCCTCTGCGCTCGCCGCTACCAGCTGCTGCACGTACTGCAGCTGGGCTTGCTGTAGGGCGGGAGGGTGGAGTGGAGTGGAGTGGGGTGGGGTGGGGTGGGATGGGATGGAGGGACATCCCAAAGGAAGGGAAGTGAAGTGATTAACTTAGGCACATAGAGAACTGATACCAGCTGCTGCACGTACTGCAGCTGGGCTTGCTGTAGGGCGGGACGCAGGGACGAAGGGCGAGAGGGCGGGCGGGACGGAGGGAGGGAGGGAGGGAGGGAGGGAGGGAGGGAGGGAGGGAGGGTATGGCAAGGTTGGCAAGGATTGGAGAGGAGTGGAGTCCTTTTCTTAGGCGCATTGAGAACTGCCAGCAGCTGCTGTGGGGTACTGCAGGCAGCTGAGCTTGCTCCATGCGGTCAGGTCAGGAGACAGGGGGGTCTGGCAGGAATGGAGATGACTTTTGAGTCGACTCAGAAGTCTGCTGTGGGTGCTGCAGGCAGGTGGGCTTGCTCCATGCGGTCAGGTCAGGAGACAGGGGGGTCTGGCAGCGAATGGAGATGAGAAGGGAAGGGAAGGCAAACCCAACCACACAACCACACAACCACGCGTAAACACAAGAACCTAATATGCCAACCTCCCCTCTAAACCCAACCACCCAGCAAGCCCACCCCGTCCCACCCCACCCCACCCCACTCCTCTCCACTCCTGCGTACCGCCCAGTCGTCTGCAGGCCCTCCAGCAGCGCCGGTGTCTCTGCGGCGCTCGTACACTGCCTGAGCCATGGCGCTCACACGCGGCGTGTCCAGAGCAGAAAGCAGGTCCACACACTGTGCGTTGGGGGGTGGGGTGTGGGGAAGGGGATTCCTGAGGCGCCTCAAAAGCCGGTGTCTCTGCGGCGTTCATACACTGCCTGAGCCATGGCGCTCACCCGAGGTGTATCTACAGCTGACAGCAGGTCCAGGCACTGTGAGGGGAGGGTGGGTGGGTGGGGGTTAGGAGGGCAGATGGAGAGCAGGTGTGTCAGTCAGTGTGTGCATGCGTAGTTTGATTTGAGTCGCCCCGTGCCATGGCGCTCACCCGAGGTGTGTCCAGTAGCGACAGGAGGTCCACGCACTGTGGGTGGGGGTCAAGAGGGGGGGAACGGGAGGGGGAAATGTGAGAGCAGGAGACTGAGTCGGCCTGAGCTCGGCCTGAGCTCTGCCTGAGCCATGGCGCTCCACCTGCACTGTGGGTGGTGCGCGGGGAGTCGATTTTTTAGTCGACTAAAAAATCGACTTATCACACTGAGCCATGGCGCTCCACCTGCACTGTGGGTGGTGGGCGGGGAGTGGGTGGAGTGAAGGGATGGTGCGTCTGCATGTGCATGTGTGCATGTGCATGTGCGCATGTGTGCATGTGTGCATGTGTGCATGTGCATGTGCATGTGCATGTGTGCATGTGCATGTGCGCATGTGTGCATGTGTGCATGTGTGCATGTGTGCATGTGCATGTGCATGTGTATGCGTTGCTCTCTACAGGCGCTCGCACGCACATGGCCCTAAACCCTGAAGCAAGGCTCGCACGCACCTGCTGCCATGGCTGCAGCGGCACAGGGGCATCAGCATTTTGAGACGTCTCACAAACCCAAGAAATCCCAAAAGTGACTCATAAACCCTGAAGCAAGGCTCGCACGCACCTGCTGCCATGGTTGCAAGGGCACAGGGGCATCAGGCACTGCTGTTTCCACCGCTGCACGCGCCTGTGCCAGCGACTGCCGCCCTGCAAACGTGAGAAAGCTGACGGGGACGCAGTGTTACAGACGGGAAGAAGTGAAGCAACAAGGAAGAGAGTGTCATGGATGGGGAGGGGGGTGTTACAGGGGGGCAAGCAAGTCAAGGCGAAGAGAAAGGTAGAACAAGAAAGAAGGAAGTGGGAAGCGGGGCAGAAATAACAAGGGGAGGGGGTGAGTGTGAAACGAAACGAACACACACCTGAGAGCGACAAAGGCCGAGAGAGCAGGAGAGGAGGAGCAGAGCACAACACGCAGACCCATGGCTGATAGAGTGCCCACTGCTCTCACTGCCTCGTACACACGCCACCCCACTTGCTGCCCCTGACCGCCCTGCTGCTGCCCCCCCTGCTGTCCCCCTGGCTGTCCCCCTGGCTGTCCCCCTTGCCCTTGCCCCTGCTGCTGCGGGTTCTCTATAGCAGGGAGTGATATGTGCAGTGCTACAGCGCCCTCCCGTGCCGCGGCTTCTACAAACGATGGCCGGTCCAGGGAGGAAGGCTCGCCATCCGCCTGAAGGGGGCGTGGGAGGGAGAGGGGAATGGTGGAGGAAATGGGTGCGCCAGTGCAGGGGAAAAGAGGCAGAGAGTGCAGCAGAGGGTGCAGGGGTGAGAGTGCAGAGGAGAGAGCATTGAATGCACATGCACACCCACACGCCGTATACTCTTGAGATGCCTTCAAAGGGAGATCAGATCACATGAAACGCACCTGCAGCAGCACGACAGCGTCGTAGCCCCACGTGCGCACATACGTTTTTATATCTGCGTCCGTGGACGGCAGATCGCCCAGGTAGTTTCTGAGAATTCTCAAGAACCACCTGCAATGCATGAGACGCACCTGCAGCAGCACGAGGGCGTCATAGCCCCACTTGCGCACGTACGCCTTTATATCCGCGTCCGTTGCCGGAAGATCGCCCAGGCCTAGGCTCTCCGTCACGCCCACTTGCCGCACTGCTGCATCCCCCTCCGCTTCCTCGGTCTCTGCCTCCTTCTCATCCTCCTCGCCATCCTCCCTCCCTGCAATCTCCTCCTCCTTTCCCTCTGCTCCCTTTTCCCCAACTACAACGTCTCTTCCAACCTGCCGCTGCTGCTCCTTCCCCGTCTCCTCGTCCTCTCTGCCTTGCTCTTTCTCACTCCCCGACTCCTCATGCTCCTCCGCTCTCCTCTTCCCCTCTCTCTCATCCCAGTCGAGTTTCAAAGTTCCTTCTACCTCCGCCGTAGTACCTGAGACCCCTTCATTCGACGCCTCATGAGTGACTGATGCTGCTGCTTCTTCCCCGTCTGACATCCTCCCGTCATCTGCCTTATTCATTCCTTCAGGCGCCAATGGCAGCGATAGTTCCGTTTCCGTGGCTGCCACGTCATCCACGGCGCCAGGTTGCCGCGCGGGAAGACTGCCACGTCGGACTGGCTCAGTCGGGACGGGTCCAGCTGGACGGGCTTGGAGCGGTTTCCGGTCGGGTCTAAGGGAACGGAACCTGGTACGGTAGGTCGAGCCGTACGCGTGACCGTACGTGAATCCGTTAGCTGTTGAAACGCGTCTGGTAGGGTGCAATGCCGAGGAAGGTATGTTCACCGCGCGGCACGCCATTGTTCTAACGTTTTTTTATTATTGTTAGATTAAGATTTAACGATAAATTTGCTTATACGGGCGGTTTTTGGGAATTTGCCTGGCACAACAAATAGGCTTAAATTAGAAGGAAAATGCTGATTCAGGAGGAAAAAAAAGGATTATAATCGAGGTTCGAGATGCGGCTCACTGGGCGAAAGCAGTCCAATTAACGTGACGACAAGCGCGGAACTAGCGCAAACGACCATGGCCGCGTGCTTTTTTTTTTCTTCCCTCTGTCTCTCGTCTCTTTTTCAACCTCGTCGTCAGGTTTCCTGCACCACGATCGAGCTGATGTGCCTGCGGGAATTAAATCAGCACCTCCGAATAAAGCGGAATGAGTGTATTTTAACCAACGTCGCCCCGTGCTGTTGCAATTAAGGCACGGCACAACGCTGATTCACGCTCAATGTTAGTCGGTCAACCTAATAAGGATGGCTATGGCGCGCTCCTTGCAAGAACTAGTAAGGCTGCTAGCTAATTATCATGGCGCCACAAGATGGCCATAAATCAGGAGCTCGGAGGAAATCGCCACTAGAATGATACAGCATGGAGCAACAAATCCATCCATCTGACTGACTGAACTGAACCAATGGAGCGTGTCGGCTGAAACCAAGGAGACTGTAACGAGCTGAGACTGCAACGGCCTATCAAAACAGCCTATCCCTATCGAGGGATGACGATGTGCAGGACGTGTGCTTGGGCTGTGTCAGAATGCTCGTCGTGTCAGAATGCTCTGGGAGGGGGATGAGGCGACACGAAGCAACCAAGTCTGCCCCTCGTGTCAGCGCTGGTACAGTTCATGTACATTTTTTCACGGAATAGTTCTGTATCAGTGGAGGGAGAGCTACAGTCCTGTTTCTTGTGCAAAAAAATCCTTGCAGCCCCAAATTGCTTGACTGTCATGCCCGGGGTAGCCTGCAGCCCCAAATTGCTTGACCTAGCATGTATCATACAGCACCCCCCACTGTTCCACATCCAAAATGAGGGAAGGATTAAACTGAGGGCCCATCTAACGGCTCTCCTATCCGGAGGCAGCAATGTAGGCCAGCATCAGAAAAATACCAAGTCGCTTGAAGTGTCGGATTTGAAAATAAGCCTCTGTGCGAGACATCCACGAGGAACGCGCCCTGAACAAGAAGACGTCAAAGTTTGATCAACTCGGGATCCAGCCAAAGTCTAGGCTGGTCTCATCACATCATCAGACCCAGCCTAGTGAAAACAGCAAATCCAATGTGGAACTAGAAATTATTTTAGTAGCCGGCCTATTTCCCGTCTCTGGCACGTCCAGTATCAGTCATTTTCCACGCGCGTCGTTGGGATCTCCTCTCCGCTTGTGTGCATCGTACTGAGAGGCCCTCGATCACCATGTTCGCGACGCGATCGCTGTCAAGATCGTTGACTCTGCCGACGCATCTCGCCAAGGACAGATCAACTATCGGTAACACGTCATCGGAGCTTTGGCGATCCTCGGAGGGAGTTCCGGGCCTTTTAGTGGGGCGTCAGCAGCCCAGCGCGAAATCACATCAGCATGGTCGTTCCGGTCGCAGACTTTCGCATGTCTCGCCAGTCGCGTCGTCGTTTGTCGCCGACCTCCTCAGCAACGAGGTGCGAGCGGCGTCATCTGCCGTCCACTACGAGTCGCTCCTCCGAGCCGCCTTACTGCATCTTAACTTTCAGGCTGCCTTGTGAATCTTGCGACATGGATCACATTAAGAGGCTGTGCCCATTGGAGAACAGCGATTGTTGAGAATATGGTTATGCGACAAGCTTTGAGACGTCTCAAGAATGGTTGAGTGTCAGGCTCCGAAACTTCCTGATCTTCCATATCTTTGCAATCTCTGCTTTCTCCCGACCCTCATCGCGATTCCTCCGTTTTTGTCTCTCGCCTTTCCCCCGTCTGTTATCGATACATCTTAGAGTCCCGACACCCCATCTCCCGACTGCCGGTCTCCCCGCCTCTTCCCACCTTCCTTCGTCCCCACGCTCTTCGCACTCTCTCAACCTCCGCCTCTCTCCCTCCCCTTCCTCTCCATTTGCCCCATTCCCCTATCCGCTTCCCGCTTTTCCCCTTCCCCCTTTCCCTCACCCTCCAGCCCCCAGTAGCAGCGAGCACGGCGAACGTGGCGGCGCAACGTCCATAGCCCGTCACAGCAGCATTTTGAAGCCTAACTCTCAACTCCCATCAACCCCTACCGTCCTCCCTTCCCTCCCCCTTCCCCTTTCTCTCCCCTTCCACCCTATCTCCCGTTCCCCCCTCTCTCTCCCCCAGCCGCTGGTGGCAGCAAGCGCGGCGTGCGTGGTGGCGCAGTGCTTAAAGCCTGTTATAGCGGCCGCAGCAGGGGACGGCTTTAACTGGCGCCTTGTGTTCAAGTCGGGCGGCATGCCCTCCTCACACTCCGCTGTGCGTGCCCTCCCCCTCGCTCCCCTCCCTCGTTTGCTTCCCCGCTCCGCTGCTCCCTTGCTTCCCTGCTCCTCTGCTCTCCTCTTCCCCTGCTTTCTTGCTCCCTTGCTTCTTCGCCCTCTCTCGGCCAATGACCAGTCCTCTTTCCTTAAACTCTTTCCCTCATCCCAAACCACTGCAATTCACTCCTTCCCTCATCCACGCCCTGCGATCGCCCCACCTCCCTCTTACGTCCACAATACCGCCTTTCCCTGCCCTCCAACCGCCCTGCCCCCCTCTCCCCCATGCATTCTGACTCTGCTTGTGCCCGCTCGTTCCATGCACTGGGCCATGGCAGGTTGTGACAGCTCTGGCAACGTCAATCTACTTCGAGCGGTGAGTTAGCCCACTCACCAGTCCCTCTTCTCTTCCCTCCGCCCGCCCTCCGCCACACCCGCCCGCCCTCTGCCACACCCGCCCTCCGCCACACCCGCCCGCCCTCTGCCACACCCGCCCTCCGCCACACCCGCCCGCCTTCTGCCACTCCCCCACACGCCTTCCTCTGCTCCAGTAGCGCTTCATTTCCGTAAGAGCGATTCTCTGCTTCTTCCACCCTCCCCGTTGCATTCGCGATATCCCACTTTCTCTCCATAACACCCTCCCCACAATCCTCTACCACCTGTGGCGTGCAGTGGAGCATCAGACGCTCTCTTTGGAGCAACAGTAGTGTTTGCCACCATAGTCATGTACGACGCCCAGGTATGGCCATCCGTGCCGGGATGCGGGTGCTGCGAGAAAGAAACAAATGGGAAAGCGAACAAAGAAGAGAGTGACAAGAAATCTGCAACAGTAGTGTTTGCCACCATAGTCATGTACGACGCGCAGGCATGGCTATCTGTGTAAGAGGCACCTCAAGAAAGAAAGGAATAATGAAAAGCAATATAAAAAAGAGGGAATGAATGCAGCAGCGGTGCTTGCTTCTGTAGTTATATACGATGCCCAGGCATGGTCATCCCCTCTGCCCTCTTTTGTCCTCGTATGTCCTGCCTTCCTCCTGCCTCTCATATCGCCCCTCCCTTGGCCGTGGATTCTGAGCCATTGTTTCACGCTCTGCAATGCACTACATAACCTGTGCACTGCACTTGCTCCTCTGTTGACTGGAACATGGTGCTGCAGGGGGTGCGGGGAGCAGTGGGGAAGCAAGCTCAGGTGATCAACTCCTTGGTTGTGCCGCAGTTGGTTCGCCCTCCCCCTCTCTCCTCCATTCGCAACAGCGATGCATCCCTCTCCAAAGGCACAGCGGATGTCAACGATCGCCCCAGCGACAGCAGCAGCAGCATCAGCAGCAGCAGTGGTGGCGGCGGCAGCAGCAGCAACAGCACCAGCAGCGGCATTGGCAGCAGCAGCAGTAGCGGCGACAGCAACGGTCAAACCGAGGAGCAGCAGGGGTGGAAGAAACTTTTTCCATGGCTGAAGAAAAACAGGGGGCCTGGGCTGGAAGTGGGTCCTGTAATGGACGATCGCAGCGATAATGATGATGTTAGTGATTCTGAGGGCCGCTTGGCTGTGAGGACAGCAACACTGGATGGGATAGATTGGGACGACAGCCGCATTTCAGCCTACATTAGCCCTAGCAGTTCAGGGAGTGATAGTGAGAGCAGCAGGTTACCAGCAGCACAGCGGTGGAGGCGGTCCAGGTCGTTCTGGGCGGCGGTGTTTAGGGAGCCGGCAGTTGTAGAGGGGGAGGTGGAGGTGCAGGAGATAGGGCAGCTGGAGGGGTGGCGAAACGTGCCGCTCAAGGAATCGGTGGGGCATACCAAGGCTGAGGTGGTTGGGGGTGCGGTGGCTGGTGTTCTGCTCAGCTTGCTCATCGAATTGTTCAGCTGAACCCAGAAGCAGTTAAAATGTTTCTTTGCATGGTCGATATGGATTATGGATAGTGAGCTAGGGATTTTGTTTGTTAGGACTAGTCTGGGGATGGGGAAGCTAGTGACTAAAATTGTCCTATAAGCTACTATATTAGGTTGGTGCGTTGCCGTTTGTTGAAGACCAAGCCTCAACGTAACTTCTCAGGTGCTGCTGCTGCTGGCGAGGGTTTAGTATAGATGCTATGGAAAAGGAAGCTTAGTAAAATAGACATAAGAAATTTCTGGAATGAAATCTCAACTCACAATCGCAACAAGCGCATGCCGAATCCCCCCACTCGCCTCACCCACGACAATTCCGCCGCAAGTGAAGCAGGCGAATCTTTCGCCTGCGCCTCGATCTGCTTTTGCACGGCAGGAGTTTCTCCAATCACAGCCGGACTGTCAGGAAGCCATCAAAGCCGCGACTCGGATTCTTGAATCAGGCAGCGGCAGCGGCTGGCAGTACCCGTCCATCCAGGAAATTGGCGGTTCCGTTGAATTGACACCGATTCCACTACACCGGGTGTGTCTAGTTGTGTTGAGAATATCTAGTTGTGTAGGTCGGCGGTGATTCGCTTTGAAGTTGAAGTTCTGCATGTTAGCGCGAATTGTTTTAGTGCAGTGCGACAAGGTAGAAGTGCACCACTGTTGACCCTAAGTACGATCCGTCCGGAAGCTGTCGCATCTATCTGAACGGCACCTTTAAAACCACGTCTTCTGCTAAGGATCGCGGGGAACTTTGGGAACTAAGAATTTCCATAATCACTCCCAGCCAAGTTTTCCCCTTGTCAGTCCCATTTGCGCCTACTCTACGTAGAAATACACGTAACAGCGCGGCGTGGGGCTCTAGCTACGAGATATCGTCTCCAAATCCATACGCCGTAGAAAGACACATGAAACTTTACGTTTTTCCAGCTTCAATCGCGAAAGACATGTAAACCTGGCGCCCTACTTCTCGATTTGACGATTCATAGAATCACGAAGATCCAGCGCACCAGATACGACACGGGGAAAAGGCGAAGCAGATAATCATAAGACGCACAGCCGTATTATCTGGGCGGAGGCCGCTCAGCTTGAAGAACGCCGAGGACGCTGAGGCAGGCGAAGGAGCGTTATGGCGCGGACACACGTCACTCGCGAGGACTTGCGGATTGTTACACCGACAGCAGCAGCAGCAAGACGAGCTGCGGGAAGGACGGTACTGCTGGTGCTGGTGGCCGTGTGCGTGACGATGAGCCCGACAGTCGCGAATGCCGAGCCATACGCAGGTACCCAGCAGTGCTGCTAAGAACCGTTCACATGCCAAGCACGGTTTAGATGCAAGTCACCTTGATTTCAAATTTCAATGCAAGAAGCGGCTTAGGAGTACGTCGTAGTATGAGCATGACATCGCATTGTATCGCATGGCATCGCATAGCATCGCATGCATTTAGGTTGACTCGGTAGCGATTCCACGTCCTCGCATGTGCTGAGCTGACCCTAACATCCAGCAAAGCAGCAGGGTCAGCAGGGCAAGACGAGTCGCAGGGTCGTCGCTATCTCATTGCCGCGTGTACCCCGCTAGCTGCGGCAAGCATACCTGGACGGACGACTCGTGCGTTATGTCTAGTTTTGAGGCGCCTCAAAAGTAGAGCGGTTCAACTGGTCAACTGGCATCTCACTCCTGCCGTCCTTTGAGACGCCTCAAAAGCCGTCCCCTTCCCTATCTCGCCTTCCCCCATTCCCCACTCCGCCGTTCCCCCCATTCTTTCCCCCTCCGTCCCCCCATTCTCCCCCGTTCCCCCAGACACGGGCCCCATAGACCCGGAGACGGACCCCGCGGTGCTCGCGCGCATGCTTCCGCTCAACGTGCGCGCGGGCGGGCCGTTCGCGGACTGGATCACGGGCGAGCGCGAATGGTTCAACGTCAACTACTACTTCGGCAAGGGCGGTGCGTTGCGTTGCGCAGTGCGTCGCGCCGCGCTCTGCGGCGTGCTTTGCGGGAGGGTTTGCGGCATGCGTTGCGGCGTGCGCTGCGACGAGGGTTGCGGGGGGAGGGGGTGCGGGGAGAGGGTGCGAGATGGTACTGATGCAGGCTGTGAGTGACGAGACGGCGACGTGCGAGTTCAGTAATTCGCGGGGCGGAGTCCGCACGGAGCCATCTCTGCTACCTGCCTGCTGGTAGTAAACTTCTGCCCCATCATCTTTATTTAGGTTCTCAAAACTGGCCCATGCGTCGCCACACGCCTAGCCTCCTCTCCCCTCCCCTCCTCTCTTCTCCTCACACCCCCACCCCCCTTCGCGCCCATCCACTTCCCCTTCACCTCCCACTTTCTCTTCCTCTTCCCCTTGCCCTTCCCCGTTTGCCCCCCAGGCAACGACATGCGGGACACCGCAGCGCAGCAGCGACGTGATCTGGGGAGGGAGGGCGCTCGTTCCGGCTGTTCCTTTCCGCCCTCCCGCCCATCCTCTCGATCCCGCGCGCATTTCTCCTGCTCCTTCTCTTCCCCCCCAGGCAACGACCTGCCGGACACAGCACAGCAACGACTTGATCTGGGGGGACGAGGGACGCTCGTTCCGCCCGATCTTTTTCCCCCCCGCCCACCCGCCCTCTCAATTCCTCGCATTTCTCTCACCCCCCTCCCCATGCCCCCCTCTCCCTTTCCCCCTCCCAGGCAACGACCTGCTGGACACGCAGCGCAGCAACGACGTGATCTGGGGGGGCGAGGGCGACGACGGGCTGTACGGCGAGGATGGCAACGACACCATGATGGGCGGCCCCGGCAACGACCTGCTGTGCGGGGGTGCGTTTTGAGTCGACTCAAAACACGCAACGACCTGCTGTGCGGGGGTGCGCGCGGGGGGGAGAAAGGGGAGGGAAAAGGGGGAGTGGGGAGGGGGGACGGGGGATGGTGGAGGGGGGAGGAAATTGGGAGGGGATGGGCGAGGGGGCGGGACTGACATGGACTGGCTGAGTCGGCGGTATATAGCCGGAAGCTTGAAAGGGTGGCTGGGTTGAAGCTTGAAAGGAAATGTCCGTTTGGTGGGTGGGCTGTACGGTGAGGACGGCAACGACACCATGCTGGGGGGCCCGGGCAACGACCTGCTGTGCGGGCAGTGGGAGTGGTGCGCGGAGGAGAGGGGAGGGGGGAAAGGGGGGATGGGGGTTGGTGTGTCCATATCTTCCCGTGCTTGCGCTTCGTAATTCGGCCCTCCTTCCTCTCCTCCCTTGCTTCCTCATGCAGCCTCTGGGAGGCTGACATCACACACGAAGAGGAGGGCGACGACACAGTGCTGGGCGACCGAACCTTGTGGTTCATGACCGGTCTCGTGCCATCGCATGCTCACACTCCCGCCCTCCCCCTCCCAACCCCTACCTCTTCCCGCTCAAAATTCTCTTCCAAACTCCCGTTTCCCCCTCCTCCTTCCCTTGCCAACGGTGCAGCGCCCGGGAGGGACATCATATACGGGGAGGAGGGTGACGACACAGTGCTGGGGGACCCGTGCGGCATCGGGAACATCTGTGAGGGCCCCCAGGTGGTCTACAACGACTGGATCCACGTGAGTGACTGGCGATACTGCTACTGCTGGCCATGCTGCTGCTGCTGGCGATGCTGCTGCTGGTGATGCTGCTGCTGGCGATGCTGCTGCTGGTGATGCTGCTGCTGGTGATGCTGCTGCTGGTGATTCTGCTGCTGGTGATTCTGCTGCTGGTGATGCTGCTGCTGGTGATGCTGCTGCTGGTGATGCTGCTGCTGGTGATGCTGCTGCTGGTGATGTTGCTGCTGGTGATGCTGCTGCTGGTGATTCTGCTGCTGGTGATTTTGCTGCTGGTGATGCTGCTGCTGGTGATGCTGCTGCTGGTGATGCTGCTGCTGGTGATGCTGCTGCTGGTGATGCTGCTGCTGGTGATTCTGCTGCTGGTGATTCTGCTGCTGGTGATTCTGCTGCTGGTGATTCTGCTGCTGGCGATGCTGCTGCTGGTGATGCTGCTGCTGGTGATGCTGCTGCTGGTGATGCTGCTGCTGGTGATTCTGCTGCTGGTGATTCTGCTGCTGGTGATTCTGCTGCTGGTGATTCTGCTGCTGGTGATTCTGCTGCTGGTGATTCTGCTGCTGGTGATTCTGCTGCTGGTGATTCTGCTGCTGGTGATTCTGCTGCTGGTGATTCTGCTGCTGGTGATTCTGCTGCTGGTGATTCTGCTGCTGGTGATTCTGCTGCTGGTGATTCTGCTGCTGGTGATTCTGCTGCTGGTGATTCTGCTGCTGGTGATTCTGCTGCTGGTGATTCTGCTGCTGGTGATTCTGCTGCTGGTGATTCTGCTGCTGGTGATTCTGCTGCTGGTGACTCTGCTGCTGGTGATTCTGCTGCCGGTGATTCTGCTGCTGGTGATTCTGCTGCTGGCGATTCTGCTGCTGGTGATTCTGCTGCTGGTGATTCTGCTGCTGGTGATTCTGCTGCTGGTGATTCTGCTGCTGGTGATTCTGCTGCTGGTGATTCTGCTGCTGGTGATTCTGCTGCTGGCGATGCTGCTGCTGGTGATGCTGCTGCTGGTGATGCTGCTGCTGGTGATGCTGCTGCTGGTGATGCTGCTGCTGGTGATTCTGCTGCTGGTGATTCTGCTGCTGGTGATTCTGCTGCTGGTGATGCTGCTGCTGGCGATGCTGCTGCTGGTGATGCTGCTGCTGGTGATGCTGCTGCTGGTGATGCTGCTGCTGGTGATGCTGCTGCTGGTGATTCTGCTGCTGGTGATTCTGCTGCTGGTGATTCTGCTGCTGGTGATTCTGCTGCTGGTGATTCTGCTGCTGGTGATTCTGCTGCTGGTGATTCTGCTGCTGGTGATTCTGCTGCTGGCGATGCTGCTGCTGGCGATGCTGCTGCTGGTGATTCTGCTGCTGGCGATGCTGCTGCTGGCGATGCTGCTGCTGGTGATGCTGCTGCTGGTGATGCTGCTGCTGGTGATGCTGCTGCTGGTGATGCTGCTGCTGGTGATTCTGCTGCTGGTGATGCTGCTGCTGGCGATGCTGCTGCTGGTGATGCTGCTGCTGGTGATGCTGCTGCTGGTGATTCTGCTGCTGGTGATTCTGCTGCTGGTGATTCTGCTGCTGGTGATTCTGCTGCTGGTGATTCTGCTGCTGGTGATTCTGCTGCTGGCGATGCTGCTGCTGGCGATGCTGCTGCTGGTGATTCTGCTGCTGGCGATACTGCTGCTGCTGGCCATGCTGCTGCTGCTGGCGATGCTGCTGCTGGTGATGCTGCTGCTGGTGATGCTGCTGCTGGTGATTCTGCTGCTGGTGATTCTGCTGCTGGTGATTCTGCTGCTGGTGATTCTGCTGCTGGTGATTCTGCTGCTGGTGATTCTGCTGCTGGCGATGCTGCTGCTGGCGATGCTGCTGCTGGTGATTCTGCTGCTGGCGATACTGCTGCTGCTGGCCATGCTGCTGCTGCTGGCGATGCTGCTGCTGGCGATGCTGCTGCTGGCGATGCTGCTGCTGGTGATGCTGCTGCTGGTGATGCTGCTGCTGGTGATTCTGCTGCTGGTGATGCTGCTGCTGGCGATGCTGCTGCTGGTGATGCTGCTGCTGGTGATGCTGCTGCTGGTGATGCTGCTGCTGGTGATGCTGCTGCTGGTGATTCTGCTGCTGGTGATTCTGCTGCTGGTGATTCTGCTGCTGGTGATGCTGCTGCTGGCGATGCTGCTGCTGGTGATGCTGCTGCTGGTGATGCTGCTGCTGGTGATGCTGCTGCTGGTGATGCTGCTGCTGGTGATTCTGCTGCTGGTGATTCTGCTGCTGGTGATTCTGCTGCTGGTGATTCTGCTGCTGGTGATTCTGCTGCTGGTGATTCTGCTGCTGGTGATTCTGCTGCTGGTGATTCTGCTGCTGGCGATGCTGCTGCTGGCGATGCTGCTGCTGGTGATTCTGCTGCTGGCGATGCTGCTGCTGGCGATGCTGCTGCTGGTGATGCTGCTGCTGGTGATGCTGCTGCTGGTGATGCTGCTGCTGGTGATGCTGCTGCTGGTGATGCTGCTGCTGGTGATTCTGCTGCTGGCGATGCTGCTGCTGGCGATGCTGCTGCTGGTGATGCTGCTGCTGGTGATGCTGCTGCTGGTGATGCTGCTGCTGGTGATGCTGCTGCTGGTGATGCTGCTGCTGGTGATTCTGCTGCTGGTGATTCTGCTGCTGGTGATTCTGCTGCCGGTGATTCTGCTGCTGGTGATTCTGCTGCTGGTGATTCTGCTGCTGGTGATTCTGCTGCTGGTGATTCTGCTGCTGGTGATTCTGCTGCTGGTGATTATGCTGCTGGTGATTCTGCTGCTGGTGATTCTGCTGCTGGTGATTCTGCTGCTGGTGATTCTGCTGCTGGTGATTCTGCTGCTGGTGATTCTGCTGCTGGTGATTCTGCTGCTGGTGATTCTGCTGCTGGTGATTCTGCTGCTGGTGATTCTGCTGCTGGTGATTCTGCTGCTGGTGATTCTGCTGCTGGTGATTCTGCTGCTGGTGATTCTGCTGCTGGTGATTCTGCTGCTGGTGATTCTGCTGCTGGTGATTCTGCTGCTGGTGATTCTGCTGCTGGTGATTCTGCTGCTGGTGATTCTGCTGCTGGTGATTCTGCTGCTGGTGATTCTGCTGCTGGTGATTCTGCTGCTGGTGATTCTGCTGCTGGTGATTCTGCTGCTGGTGATTCTGCTGCTGGTGATTCTGCTGCTGGTGATTCTGCTGCTGGTGATTCTGCTGCTGGTGATTCTGCTGCTGGTGATTCTGCTGCTGGTGATTCTGCTGCTGGTGATTCTGCTGCTGGTGATTCTGCTGCTGGTGATTCTGCTGCTGGTGATTCTGCTGCTGGTGATTCTGCTGCTGGTGATTCTGCTGCTGGTGATTCTGCTGCTGGTGATTCTGCTGCTGGTGATTCTGCTGCTGGTGATTCTGCTGCTGGTGATTCTGCTGCTGGTGATTCTGCTGCTGGTGATTCTGCTGCTGGTGATTCTGCTGCTGGTGATTCTGCTGCTGGTGATTCTGCTGCTGGCGATGCTGCTGCTGGTGATTCTGCATCTGCTCCTCGTCCTGTACTGTAGCCATTATTATATCTGCAACTCCCCAACGGCTACACCTCATGCCGCCTATTTTACCCATCCTCTCCAACCACCTTCTGTGCGCCTTCCATATCCAATTTCCTCACACCCTCCCTCTTTCCACTTCAACGCTTCCCACTCCCCCAACCCTGGCACAATGCGGAACCTGGCAGTAGGGGGGAGGGGAGGGGAGGGGAGGGGACAAGCACGTGCTTCCTTTCCCCGCTCCCACCTGTCATCTCCTCTCCCATGTGCGACGACGAGATCTGGATTGTACAGTTAACATTATAAGAAACACATCCTTCCTTTCCCCGCTCCCACCTGTCATCTCCTCTCCCATGTGCTGTGGTACATGGTAGGGCGGGCCAGGCAAGGACGTGCTGAACGGGCAGAAGGGCGATGATGAAATCTATGGTGGCACGGGCGATGACAGGTGGGCTGGAGGGTGCAAAAGCAGGGCGGACGGGGCAAGGGGAGGGCAGGTGGAGCGGGGAGGAGGGAAAGGACTGCTTATGTCTGCTTGTGTTCTTTTATACCCACCCACGTGTCGGCCCTGCACCCACATCATCACTCACTACCCCGCTGCTAACGCCCACCACTCCTCACAGGTTGTTTGGGGGGGACGACAATGACTATCTGAACGGCGAGGAGGGCAATGATGCTTTGTTTGGCGAGGCGGGTAACGACTACCTGGCGGGGGGGCCGGGCAATGACACGCTCTATGGCGCCGCTGGCACCGATACGCTTTACGGCGGCCCTGGATATGGTAATAACGAGTATGATGTGATGTGATGGGATGGGGGATGGGATGGGATGGGATGGGATGGGATGGGATGTGATGTGATGGATGTGATGTGATGTGATGTGATGTGATGTGATGTGATGTGATGTGATGTGATGTGATGTGATGTGATGTGTGATGTGATGTGATGTGATGTGATGTGATGTGATGTGATGTGATGTGATGTGATGTGATGTGATGTGATGTGATGTGACGTGATGGGATGGGATGGGATGGGATGGGATGTGATGTCATGTGATGTGATGTGATGTCATGTGATGTGATGTGATGTGATGCCATGTGATGTGATGTGATGTCATGTGATGTGATGTGATGTGATGCCATGTGATGTGATGTGATGCCATGTGATGTGATGTGATGTGATGTGATGTGATGTGATGTGATGTGATGTGATGTGATGCCATGTGATGTGATGACATGTGATGTGATGACATGTGATGTCATGTCATGTCATGTCATGTCATGTCATGCCACGTGATGTGATGACATGTGATGTCATGCCATGTGATGTGATGCCATGAATGCCATGTAATATGACTTGTATATTCCCACTCTAAACCCGACCCCCTCTTCCTTTTCTCTCAAACGCCCCAGTGCTCTCCTTTCTCCCCTCTCACATTGGTGGGCCTTCTTTCTTCTCTCGTATCTCATTCCGCCATGCACCTGCTCCTTCCTCATCCCTCTTTTTGCTGGTGCTGGTGCAGACATCTTGAGAGGTGGCGGTGGCACCAACATATTCGTTGTGGACGCCCAGCCATGCGGCTCCTTTGACCAGATCCGATACTTTGAGTCAGTACATCGCACCTACTTCCTCTCCTCCCAACTTATTGTTTTCTTAACCATTACCCTCCTACTAGCTCGCCCTCCTTACACTCCCCTTCCCTCTCTCCCACCTCCTTTGACCCACTTTCAGCTTTCGTTCTCTACTGCTAGTCACTGCCGTTTCCTCCTACCTACTCCACGTGATTCCTCCACTCACTCCCTTTCTCCTCCACTCACTCCCCTTCTCCTCCACTCACTCCCCTTCTCCTCCACTCACTCCCCTTCTCCACTCACTCCCCTTCTCCTCCACTCACTCCCCTTCTCCACTCACTCCCCTTCTCCTCCACTCACTCCCCTTCTCCTCCACTCACTCCCCTTCTCCTCCACTCACTCCCTTTCTCCTCCACTCACTCCCCTTCTCCTCCACTCACTCCCCTTCTCCTCCACTCACTCCCCTTCTCCTCCACTCACTCCCCTTCTCCTCCACTCACTCCCCTTCTCCTCCCAGGCCTAAGAACGGCGATCAGGTCATAGTGGTGGCTGGAGGAGGAGCGGCAGGCAGGGAGCTGCTCAAGAAAGGCAGAGCGGTGAGAATGGGTGCTGTGCTGTGTGCTGTGCTTGTGATGTGTGAATCGTACTGTGCTGTAGACGTGAGTGCGAGACGTGAGTGCGAGACGTGGGTGCAATATTTTCTCGCCCAAGACGTGAGTGCGAGGGCATGTACATGGTCGGGGCCATGCATACATGACCGGGGGATGCATGCATGCATGCATGCAGCAAGCAGACTGGTGGTGGCCTCACCATCTCCGCTCTCCTTCTCACCCCTGTGTTTCCCCTCCTCCCTCTCAGGCAGTGACAGTGCAGACAGTGAAGCATGTGACGGGCGTCTATGTGCAGGGGTGTGCGACGCCCATAGCGGTGTTCACAGGGGTGGACATTCCCGCTGCTCCCATCGCCAAGGCACTAAAGCTGCATGCCAACCCCCCGCCGCCCCCCTCCTGGGTCGTGGTAAGCTGCTGTTCCCCCCTGCCTTGCCTCTGCTTCCTCTTCTTCCCCTCCTTCCTCTCCTTCTTCTCCTTCCTCTCCTTCTTCTCCTTCCTCTCCTTCTTCTCCTTCTTCTCCTTCCTCTCCTTCCTCTCCTTCTCCTTCCTCTCCTTCTTCTCCTTCCTCTCCTTCTTCTCCTTCCTCTCCTTCTTCTCCTTCCTCTCCTTCTTCTCCTTCCTCTCCTTCTTCTCCTTCCTCTCCTTTCCATTCCTCGCCTTCCTCTCCTCTTTCCCAGTCCGTCCCTTCCCATCCTTCCTCCCCTTCCTTCCCGCTTCCCATCCGCTCCTGTTCTTTCTCTCTACTTCCTCCTTCCTTTCCTCACTTCCATCTTCCCCCACTCTGCACACCCCCCACCCCGCCCGTCCCCCAGGGCTACATCCCTCCGCCCATCCCTGGCAAGAACGGAGTGCCGCCCATCCCCCCTGACAACGTGTTGCAGGGCAGTCCGTTCGGGGACAACCTGTACGGCCTCAACCACTCCAAGAAGGTCAGTCTTGCCGGCAGGCAGGCACGCACGCAGGCACGCAGGCAGGCATGCAGGCAGGCATGCAGGCAGGCATGCAGGCAGGCATGCAGGCAGGCATGCAGGCAGGCATGCAGGCAGGCATGCAGGCAGGCGCACATACAACCCATCCCACTTTATTGAAAGCTTCTTGGAGTTCCGTACCACCTTGCAACCAACCTATCCTGCTGCCCTGAGACGGTGTGCCATGCCATCCAGTCAGTCAGGATCTCTGAGGGAAGGGGTCTGTCCGACCCCGACACCTCTCAACCGCCCCACCACACTCACCCCCCCACCCGCCCCCCCCCTTACCTTTTTCTCTCCCCTCTCTCCCTGTACAGATCGGCAATTTCATGTTTGGGCTGTCGCTGAACGACAAGCTGGTGGGGGGCCCGGGGCCGGACGTTATACTGGGCGACAATCAATCACAACCCCACAACCCCTTAGCTTCAACCTCTCAACCTCCGCCACCCCCACTCCCAACCCCACTCCCACCCCCACCCCCACCCCCACCCCCACCCCCACTCCCACTCCCACCGTCTTTCATTCAGATCGGCAATTTCATGTTTGGGCTGTCGCTGAACGACAAGCTGGTGGGGGGCCCGGGCCCGGACGTTATACTGGGCGGCAATCACAACGACACCATCATTGGGGGCGCTGGGAACGACCGACTGGTGCGTGCAGAGAGGGGGGGAGGGGGGTGGGATGGGGGGCAAAGGGAAGGAAATTAGCTGGTGGGAGGCGTGGGGCCAGATGTTATACTGGACGGCAAGGCAACCACAATGACACCATCATGGGGGGCGCTGGGGACGACCGACTGGTGAGGGGAGGGCGAGGGGGTGGGGGTGGAGGAGTGAAATGGGCAGATGGGGAATGAGAGGGAGAGAAGCTGGTGGGCGGGCCCGGGGCTGGATGCTATACAGGGCGGCAAGGCAATCACAACGACACCATCATTGGGGGCGCTGGGGACGACCGACTGGTGCGTGCAGAGAGAGGGGGAGGGGGCAATGGGGAAAGAGGGGGAGAGAGGAGGGGGGAAATGAAGAGAAAGGGAGATGGGTAGGAAACACAATGACAGCACCATTGGGGGCGCGGGGGACGGCTGACTGGTGCGGCCAGAGGGCAGCAGAAGGGGAGGGTAAAGGGGGGATGGGAAAAGAAGCGTGGAGAGAGCATGGGGAAATGGGGAGAAAGAAAAAAAGATGGGTGGCAGCACCATTGGGGGCGCGGGGGACGGCTGACTGGCAGAACAAGGACGGGTTGGGGTGGGGAGCGGCAGGGGGGAGGGAGGAGGAAAGAGAGGGTAAACATGGGAGAGGCGAAGGGGAGAGGGGAATGGGGGGCGTTTTTGGCCAGTCATCCTTGATTCGACTGGTATTTGGCGGAGATATGTGTTTTGGGACATCTCGATTGTTCTCTCCTGCACCCTCCCACTTTCCCACCCTCCCATCTTCTCATCTTCCCATCCTCTCATGTCACCCCCTCGCATGTCCTGTCCTCCTCTGCAGTCAGGCGGGTCGGGATACGATTTGATTCTGGGCGGCGCGGGCCGGGACGCGCTGTTTGGCGGGCACAACGTGGACATTCTTTACGGAGGGGGGTGGGGCAACTGGATCACTGGAGGGGACTCTGCAGGTGGGTGTGTTTGAGACCGGTCAACGTTTCCCGCTAGGCGCGTGTGTGTTTAAGACCTCCGCTTCTCCGTTACCTGTTTCTCTCCACTGCCTGCCTCAATTGCCCTCCTTCACCCCTCTCCCCCTGTGTTCTCTCCCTCTCCTTCTCTGCCCTTCTCCCTTGCGCCCTCCCCACCCTGCGCCCTCCCCACCCTGCGCCCTCCCCACCCTGCGCCCTCCCCACCCTGCGCCATCCCCCTCTGCACCCTTCCTCCTCTCCCCCCAGACAAGATCTACGTGGATGCGCCCAGAAGCTGCCAGGCCACAGGGCCCGCGCCTGATATTATCAATGACTATGACACGGACAAGGTGGGTAGATGCATGCACACGGACAAGGTGGGTAGATGCATGCACACGGACAAGGTGGGTAGATGCATGCACACGGACAAGGTGCGTGCATGCCACGCACGTACACAACTTATGGAGCACCTCAAAAGTGAGACGATTTTTTTAATATGTGCATGCACGCAGGGGTTACACGTGTGCTGGCCGGGCCAATGGGCGATGGTATGATGTGTTTGAACCCAGCATCGGCATGGCCTGCATGCCGCTCATGACATGCTGCCGGTGGTGTGACGTGTTTAGAGGCGACTCAAAACGTGGTGATGTGATGTGATGTGATGTGATGTGATGTACATGACGAATCCGAACTCGACAAAGTGCAGGGCTCCTTGAAAATTGCCTCGACCCCCTTCTCGCTCCCACCTCCCCTTCCCTTCCCCACTCCCTTTCCCCCTCCCCCCATGGCCACAGATATTCATTGTGGGCTCTCTCACGTCCCTCTCTCAGCTCTCCATCGCCACCACTACCTCGGGCACCACCATTGCTCTCAAGGTAGGTACCTACCTAAACTACTACTCCCTCTCATGCTCACCTGTAAGTGCGTTCTGAGTCGACTCGAAACAACGCCCCTGGCAGCGCTATCACTCACAACGCAAGGTACCGACCTAATCTACTCTCATTCACATCACATGTTCCATTGGGTTTCTGTGGCAAGGGGCACACTCGATGCTCTTTTGCTCTCTCCCTCTCTCTGCCTTTCGTCTGCTTTCATGGGAATGGGCGCTTCCATAGGCATGCTTGGATAACATCGGCTCATGACCCCACCTTGTTTCTTTCTCCTCTATTATACTAATTGCCCATTAGTATGGTCTTCTTCTCTGCTTTTCTTCCCTCCCTTTCTCCCTCTCTTCCTACCTCCCTTCCTCCCTCCCTCCCTCCCTCCCTCCCTCCCTCCCTCCCTCCCTCCCTCCCTCCCTCCCTCCCTCCCTCCCTCCCTTTCTCCCACCTCTTTCCCTCTCTCACTCCCCACGTGCAGGGCTGTGCTACCCCGTTCATCTTTGTGAGAGGGGTCTCCAACCTGCCCACTTCCAACATTTTCTTCACTACCCTGGTACACTCACGCCGCCCTACGTTGTGCACAATTATATACATAGTTGATGTGCCGTGCCGTATCGCCTTCCACAGCACAGCGTATCACTTTGCATTGCAGCGCATCATCAAGACGCCCCCTGTGTTTCGGCCGTACAAGCCATACGTAGTTACGCCGGCACACATCCGATCCAAGGAAAGTCTGGCACACACAATCACTCATTCTGTCTCTCTGAAAACTTGTTCAGCATACAAAATTTCACGTGCCCCAACAAATTCATGTCTTACTACAGGATGGCATCCCTACAAAACCCTGAAAGGATGGCTGCCAAGTCAATCCCAGTCTGCATGAACCAGGATCACCATTGAGCAGAAATGTCAGGCTTGCAGAAATATTAATTGTGCATGTAATTGTCAGATGTTGTACATTATTGATTTATGATTGCATGTTTCATAATGGAAAAACTCAGCATTGCCTTGTTGGATCAGTGTGGATTTGATAGGCACCCACTATAACCATTACCACTGCCTTGTTGGATGCGCGTGGATTTGATAGGCACCTACTATACCCATCACCCAGGATTTTCTACACAGGTGCGAACTACGCGCTTCAGACTTTCTGTTACTGTGCTGAATCATTGAGTTAAAGCTTATACAGTTCCAATTTAGGTGTAATGTCCGAACCTTCTAAGGCAATCAGCCTAAAAAATATTGTGAATCGTCTACTCATATCATAGCCGCCAGCTACAAACGAATCAGGAATATCTGCTTTGAGCGAATCTTTTGAGCATCCTTGGTTCAATCCATGCTCTCTCGCATTCTTCATGAACACCCACCAGCCCTATCCCTATCCCACCATGCACCAGATCCACCCGTAAAACCCTCCTTTGCACGCCAGCCGTCCGCTTTTGCCGGCGAGTTGTTCCTGATCCCACCGCCTCACTCGGTGCGGTGCGGTTGCCCGCCTTTCGCGGTGTTGTTGCGCGTCTGTCGCGCCGTTTTTCGTCGTCGCGCGCAGCACCTCGTTGCATTGGCTGTCGATAAGGTTCTCTGTCTTCCCCTCTCCCCCTTCCGCCCTTTCCCCCTCTCCCCCTCGTCGCCTCCCCCCCGCTCCCTCTCTCCCCTTCTCCCGCACTCCCCATCTCTCCCGCTCTATCTCCCCCTCTCCCGTCTCTCGCGAACCTGACTCGGCGCTCGTGCACGCACCTGTTTCCCGTTGCTCTCATCTCTTTCTCTGACCAGATCATTCTTACGCTGCCTCTCGCGCCCCTCGCGCACAATATTCCGCTTCACCCTCCGCTGCTTCCACCGCGCCTTCTAATTTTTCTGCCCCTCACCGTCCGCTGCTTTTTCTGCTGCTCTCCTCTCCTCTCTCTACGAACCCTTTCCGACCCTCCCTTCCGTCCCTCCCTCTTTGCCCCTCCCTTTCCGCCCCTCCCTTCCGCCCCTCCCTTTCCGCCCTTCCACCGCGTCGTCTCTCCCGCACTTCCAGATCGCTGTTTCTGAACGCATCTTCGCGCGATCCACCTGTCAACACCGCAATGGCCAGCAAATCTGCGGTGCCGCCGCCCGCCAGCACAAGCGGGAGCGCCAGCGCCAGCGCCGGTTCCGGCGGGAGCGGCGGAGGCGAAATGGCGACGATCGACGCGGTTGCGGCGGGAGCGGGCAGCTGTATCGGCTTGGCCGTCGGCTCCGCGATTAGCGGCGGCGCCATCGGCGGACTTTTCGGGCTGGGTGAGTGCATGGCGCTGGACGCGCGCTGTCCCACGCGACGCGACGCGTGAAAGGGGCGGGAAGGGGAAACGGGAAGACGCGGGGATGTTGGAAGGAGAAAGGTCGTTCAGGGGAAGGCCAGGGAGGGAGGGGAGTGAGGGGAGTGAGGGGAGGGAGGGGCGGAAGGGGAGAGACGGGAGGGAGGTGGGGGTTGTGTCCGGCGTGGTTTGACTCTTCAGGGGCTGGGGTTGCGCTGAAAGAGAGCGCTCGAGTTGTCGAGCTTTGGAATGAACAGTACGAACTCTTTTTTATCCCCCACCCTCCCCAGCCCTCCCACGCCCTTCCCTTCCTGCCGCCCTCTCGCCCCCCCCCCCTTTCCTCGCCCTCTCTCTTCACCTCGAGTACCCCACTTTGCTGACGTGCCCTGTCGTTGCTTTTCGTTCTCCTTGTCGCACCGCCTACTCATGACATTCGTTCTGAGGTACCTCATCGTCCTTTCTACTCTACTTTTGAGGTTCCACATTCCACCACCCCGCCTCCCCCCACCCCCCCGCCCCTCTCTCCCCGCCCAATCCTTTGCCAAATGCACTCGTGCACGCATTATCGGGTGCAATGCGCGAAGGTCTGTGCACGCTCACATGCTCACACCCATATTCAATCACGCCCACTCACACCCACTCATACCCACTCCCGCACTCACACTCTCGCCGCTCTTTCCCCCCAACCCCCCTCTCCCTTCCCCGCCTTCTCCTCTGTCTTCTCCTCGCTCTCCTCTTTTCCCCCCTTCCTTTCCCCAATCTCCCCCCAACCACCGTCAGTGTCGGGTCTCTTCCGCCGCGAGGGCTTTAAGAAGGCCATGTCCGAGGCTGGGGCTTCCGGCCGGGTAAGGGACGGGGCTAGGGGAAGGCGGGGGGCGGGAGGGGAAACGGGCGCAGGGCGCAGGGGGCGAGTGGCGGGGCTAGGCAGGGCAGGGCGGGGAGGGGGGCGATGGGCGGGGATTTGAGATACGATGGGGAGCGTGGCTGATTTGGTTGGTGTGGAGTGGATTTGCTGTTTGTATGCCGAGAGAGAAAGTTCGCTCTGCTCTGCCCAACCGTTCTGCTGCTCTGGGCTTTTCGCATTCCCCTTCCCCTTCTCCTTCCCCTTCATCTTCCCCTTCCCGTTCCCCTTCTCCTTCTCTTTCCCCTTTTCCTTCCCCTTCCCCTTTTCCTTCCCCTTCTCCTTCTCCTTCCCCTTCCCCTTTTCCTTCCCCTTCCCCTTTTCCTTCCCCTTCCCCTTTTCCTTCCCCTTCCCCTTTTCCTTCCCCTTCCCCTTTTCCTTCCCCTTCCCCTTTTCCTTCCCCTTCCCCTTTTCCTTCCCCTTCCCCTTTTCCTTCCCCTTCCCCTTTTCCTTCCCCTTCCCCTTTTCCTTCCCCTTCCCCTTTTCCTTCCCCTTCCCCTTATCCGCCCTCCTTACCAACGTACGTCCGTTTGTCCGTCCCCCTGCCTGTCAACCGTTGCGTTTCCTCCGTCTCTTGAGCTTCTCTGGTTCTTTCTATTATTCTCTTGTTCCACCATACTCGTTTGCCCGTTCGTCAACGCCCCCTCCCCCCTTCCCTTTTATACGTGCAACACCACATGCATCCATGTCCCGTGCTCATCTATCCGCATGCGCCCGCCCTCTCATCCCGCCCTCTCATCCCGCCCTCTCATCCCGCCCTCTCATCCCGCCCTCTCATCCCGCCCGCTCAACCCGTCCGCTCACCCCACCCTTTAGACCTTCGCCATCATGTCGGGCGTGCATTCGCTCGTCAGCGCCTCGCTTAAGAAGATTCGCGATAAGGACGACGGTGCGCGCACACTGCCCTCTTGCACTCCCGCATGCCCCCCTAGATGCACTCCCGCATGCCCCCCTAGATGCACTCCCGCATGCCCCCCTAGATGCACTCAAGCATGCCCCCCTAGATGCACTCCCGCATGCCCCCCTAGATGCACTCCCCCATGCCCCCCTAGATGCACTCCCGCATGCCCCCCTAGATGCACTCCCGCATGCCCCCCTAGATGCACTCCCGCATGCCCCCCTAGATGCACTCCCGCATGCCCCCCTAGATGCACTCCCGCATGCCTGCCTGCATGCCCCCCCCCTTTGATGGTCGTGTGCATGGCGGTCTGCATGCATGCCTTCTTATCTCGCGTGCACCGTGGATTCTCTCATCCCCACCTGCTGCTGGCCTCTTCCCTCCCTCCTTCCCTCCCTGCCTGCCTCCCTCCCTCCCTCCCTCCCTCCCTCCCTCCCTCCCTCCCTCCCTCCTATTTCTAGCCATACCATTACCCTCAACGTTCTAGTACACACGAACACACACGCTATGCCCCACACACATTGTTCCTTCCCTCTCATGGCCTTCCCGCGCACACTAGACCAACCGTCTCCCCTCTCTCTCTCTCGCCCCCTCTCCCCCCACTCCCCCACGCCCCCGCCCCCCCACACCCCCTCCCCTCCCCCCCAATCGTGTCTACCCGCAGTGATCAACCATGCAGTGGCGGGGTGCGCCACCGGAATCGCCCTCGGCTGGGGAGGTAAGACATTGCCCAGACGTGCTCATGGGGTTGTTAGGGTGGTGCAATGGGCTGATGGGAGACTGGCGGATGGGGATTGAGAGGGCTGTGGAGTGGGTGCTTGCGGGGGGGTTGGTGTATGAGGATAGTTGAGCAACCATTACGATGGGAATCCATGGTCATGCCTCATGCCTCATGTCTCATGTCTCACGAGTGGAGAAGGGGTACTGTTTTCTGTAGTTAGGTTGATGTGCATAGTGCACAATGCACATTCTCTGCTGAATCCCATTCGATCCCATCCCATCCCATCCCATCCCATCCCATCCCATCCCATCCCATCCCTTCCCATAACGCCAGGCACGCCAGTGAGCATGCTGCAGAACTGTGCGGGCTTTGCTGTGTTTGCTTTCATCTTTGAGGGCATGAACCCGCCACCGCAGCCCGCTGTAGCAGCCGAGCTCAACCTCCTGGGCCTCTCCCCTCCACACGCCCACTGCAGCAGCAGCAGCAGCGAGCAGCAGTGTGAACTTCACACTGATGACTTGTGTAGTGTCTCCTCCTGCTCCTACCCCTCCTCGTCCGCTTGCTCTGGTTCTTCGTCGATCTCTGCTGGCACTGCTGCTGCTGATGCCCCCCTATGCCGCAGCGTTAGCAGTAGAGCTAGAAGACAGGCGGCAGGCAAGGTTCGCCATGGCTACAGCAACGGCAGTTGCCCAGTCGTCTACTCGCCGCAGTGCCACCAGCAACACTTACTGACAGTTCTGCCACTTTCGCTCTCACTCCCACTCGCTGCCCGGATCACCTCGTCCGCATATCACTTTTGAAGGCTCGCCAAAAAACCACCCCAACGCTCAATGATGCTGTGCTGCGACTCCTGCTCTACCCACGCACTTTCTCTCGCTCTCACTTGCTTTCGCACCAATCCACACCACACCGCACCCCTCCACACTGCTTTCAGTGATCGATTCTCAAGACCTGTCTTCAAGGCTTGGGAAGAAGGCACCAACTGGTGTTGGTGCGGTAGCTCTGTTCCTAAGTTTCTCTGTGATTTGTTGAGATGAGCAGCAGCTGAAGATTGAACTGGTAGTGGTGTGGCCTTTCTGACACTGCTTAGCACAACCCCATCCCTGGAGCCCAGGGATTGTGTGAACCTGAAGCAATGATGGTCTCATTATTAGAATGGACTAAGATACTAGCGGAAGCTTTAGTAGTCTTAGAACCTCCTCCTAAAGCCTAGGAATCTTAGGAGCCCACTTGGGCATGAACCATGCTAGAGCCAAAGTGGTTTCCAAAAGTGAAATACCAACAAGAGAGAACCCTAACCTATAGGGTTTGGGAGGTGGTCCACTCTAAAGAGTGTACACCACAAGTTCTCCCAATCCAACCAATGTATTCTACTCTACCATAGTGTAGATGTACCACTACATATGTTTATTGGAGCAACCCGAATTAACCTTAATTCCAACACCCCCCTTTGCTCCAATAAGCATTAAAGTTCACCCATAAATCAAAATACAACCCCTCCAGCGAATGAAGCCTTGGCCTTCGCACCCATCACTCGCATGCCGATGCGCTCCAGGTTCTCATGCAGCTGCAAGTTTGGAAGAGCTTTGGTAAGCATGTCGGCATCCTGGAGGTGGGAGCGTACTGAGTGCACCTCGACCTCCTGCTGGCGCACCGCATCCCGTACAAAGTGCCATGCCACCTTAATGTGCTTGGTGCGCTGATGGAGAACGGGATTGTGGGCAAGGGAGACAGCTGCCTCATTATCACAGAGCAATGGAATAGCCCCCCCATCCCCCACATGCATCTCTGCCAACAGACTCCTCAACCAAATGGCCTCCTTGGCCCCCTCCGATAGAGCTTTGTACTAAGCTTCAGAAACGCTTGCTGCAACACTGTCTTGTTTTTTGCTATACCAGCTGATTGCTCCTCCTCCCAGCTTAAAGATGTAGGCAGAGCGACTCTTGCCATCAGTCTCACCACCCCAATCCGAGTCTGTGTACCCGACAACCTGCTCACCACCTTGGCGCTCATACCTGATGACACGATCAGCTGTGTCGACCAAGTACCTGAGTGCTCTCAGTGCAGCGCGCATGTGAATGCGTCTTGGTGCCACGCAGGACTGTGCAAGGGTGTTGACAGTGAAAGACATGTCAGGACGGGTGGTCACAGCAGCATACATCAAGCTGCCAATGAGACTCTGGTACACCTTGACATCAGCTGCAACACCTTCCTCAGTTGACCAAGTACCATTCCTGATCTTAGAGAGATCATTGGGTGACATTGGAGTATGCACCCTATGGGTCTCCTTCAGCAGATCACCAAACCTTCCCTGGAGACCACGGACATACTTCTCCTGACCAATCTCCAACCACCCATCCTTGACCGACCTGCGAACCTCCACACCAAGGTACATGGATACCTCACCTAGATCCTTCATCTGGTACCTCTGAGCAAGCACCTCCTTGACCTGACTGATCAGCTCCAAGCGTGGAGACACAAGCAAGAGATCATCCACATACACCAATACATACACTGGCTCTTCATCCACAAACCTGATGTACAGAGCCTCATCACATGCACTGCGGTCAAACCCTGCTGCAATCAAGGTGGTACCAATCTCCTCATTCCAAGCACGAGGCGCTTGCTTGAGCCCATAGAGAGCTTTGCGCAAGCGATGCACCCTACCTGTACCATCATCAAATCCCTCAGGTTGCCTCACATACACTTCCTCTTGAAGGAGTGCATTGAGGTAAGCATGATCAACATCCTCCTGTTGTACATGCCACCCTTTTACCGCGGCTTTTGCAAGAAGCACCCGACCTGAGGTCAGCTTGCCCACAGGGGCAAATACCTGATCATAGTCCTTCTCAGGCTCCTGAGTGTACCCCTTAGCAACAAGGCGAACCTTGTGCTGTACCACCTTATCCTCCTTGTCAGTTTTCCTGCGGAAAACGTACCGGACCCCAATGGCCTTCTTACCTGGAGGTAAGTCAACCGGCTCTGGATCCCATACACCCATAGTGCGCATTGCATTTACCTCCTTCTCAGCGCCTGCCTTCCACGCAGGGCCCTCAGGGCCACGCAGGGCCTCAGCGAGTGTGCGTGGGACATCACCTGTGCTCACACCTGCCAGTGCAACACCTTCCACCTCCCTGGCCAAACATAGCATGCCCTCAACCACACCAGCATCCCCCCTACCTCCTCACCACCTGTACCAGACTGGATACCAAACACCTGCAAACCCGTAACCGGTGGTGGGGAGGTAGTCGCTGGTGACGGAGGGGCACCCGTAGAGAGAGGGATAGAGCGCTGACCAGAGGAGGAGGAAGAGGAAGTAGCCTGTGTAGCGCATCTCCGCTTAATGACCGAGGGGCCACTGAGCTGCTGCAGAGGGGTGGGCTGCTGCTGCACCGACACACTCAGCGGTGCCGGTGGCAGTGGTGAAAGTGGCATCTCAACGTCGTCAGCCGTTGCTGAAGGTGGCGAGAGTGGAAGAGGGAGGAGTTGGGAAATTGCAGCTGCATCCTGCAGAAGCTCCCCAAATTCCTTTGCCTTGTCCCAATCCTTCCACATCACATTCTCAAGGAAATCAACATCCCGAGCAATGCGAATGCGCATGATAGAAGGGTCCAGCATGCGCCAACCCTTGCTCTCCATGTCCACCCCAACACAGACACACATGACAGCCCGTGCATCAAGCTTGCCACCCTTCTCATGCCCATGCAACATGACACTCCCCATGCAACCCCAAATCCGAGCCATGCCCACATGCGGCTTCTGGCCGGACCACGCCTCCATTGGTGTGATGGAGGCAGGCAAAGCACTGTGGGTGACCCTGTTCTTAACCCACACGATCCACATCAATGCTTCACCCCACAAGCGAGCAGGGAGACCACTGTCGACCAACAATGTGCGAATCCCCTCTGCCATCGTCCTGTGCCACCTCTCCACAACCCCATTCTGTTGCGGTGTATCTGCGACGCTCAATTGAGTTTTAATGCCAAACTCCGCCTTCCATGCTTTTACAGCTTCCCCCAAGAACTCGCCACCCCTGTCCGAGCGAACAGCCTTCAGCTTCCGCCCACACTCCAACTCCACGTCCTTATGCCACTGGCGAAGGACTTTTGCAACTATGGCCGATTCCTTGTTGGGGAGGGGGAACGACCAAACTCGTCTGGTGAAGTCGTCAATGAGACTGAGGACATACACCGCTCCTCCCAGTGATGGTGTGCGCACCGGCCCCCACAAATCCATGTGGACCTCATCCAAAGGCCCAAGTGCCCGAGACGCCTCATGGGGAAACGGCTTCCGAGCCGACTTTCCCAATAAGCAGGGCTCACATGGGGAACAATCAGTGTTCCCCCTCCCAATCTCCAAGCCCAGTACACTGTTCCCCCGAGCCATCTGTTGCAATGTTGTGGGGGCGGTATGACCAAGGCAGCGATGGGCAAGGGTCAATGGGGAAAATGAGGAGGACGACTTAGCTGCAAGAGCACTGCCCTGTGTGCCCTGAGCAAGAGGAAGAAACATCCGCACCAATCCATGGTCCCTTCCCCTCTCCTTTTCTCCAATCGCCAACACCCGCTCCCCCCGTTGAAGGACACATCTCTTGCCTTTGAATGTGACAATGACATCTCGAGAGGTGAGATGTGGGACTGACAGCAGACGCGTGTGCATCTCAGGCACAAGGTGGACCTTTTGAATCCTCAGCAGCTGACCTCCAGCACCAACCACTGGCACCTCACCCATGCCAACAGCTTTCACCACCCGTCCATCTCCCAATCTAACTCCCCGAACCTCTGGTGGTTGAAGCTTACTTTTGAAGTCCGATGCATAAGGAGTAAAGTTGTGGCTGGCCCCACTGTCAATCCACCACCCCTCTCGCGGCTGCTCCTCTCCCACTGCTGCAACTGCTTCTCCAACCACTGCCTCTGCCTTGTCATCCTGCTCCTCCTCATCCGCCACCTGTGCCTTGCCGTTGGACCCACGACCCCCCCGCTTTAAGAATGCCGGAATGCCTCCCTTAGGTCGATGAGGACATCGCTGCCATGCATGTCCCTCATCCCAACAGCCATGACACAACCCCCGAGGAGCCATGCCCTTGGACCCCCAAGGGAAATCAAGCACTCCCGCTTTGCCTTTCCCTTGACCCCATCTGCCCGAGTTGGTGTCACTGCTGCTACCGCTGTCTCCATGCTTTCCTCCCTTGACCCAATTTCCCCTACCGCTGCTGCCCACTTTCGTACCCGCTCCAAATGTGGCTACACCATCCGATCTTGGTGCGACACCAATCCGCATCTCCTCGCTCCTCAAGGAGGTAAGCAGCTGATCCTTAGTGAGCGATGATGACTGGTTGTTCAACACCACCTTCAGCATCTCAAAGTGAGGAGGTAGTCCTTTGAGTACCCTCATCATCCACTCCTCAACCTCCTCCTTTCCTCCTGCAGCCAAGTACTTGGAACTCAAGTCCTCGGCACGCGCCCAGTTTGCAGCCACCCCCTCCCCCTCTTTCATCTTCAATGAAGAGAGCTCCTCAGAGAGTGCCATCCGGTTACACAATCCACGCTGAAAGTAGAACTCCTTCACTCGTATGTATGCCGCTGCTGTGCCTGCAGGAATTCGGGTGACCGCTCTTGCTCCGCCATCAACAGGTGCGCTGCCCAACTCGGTCTTGCCGCCGAACTCCCGTACCAAACGAATTAGCTCATCTGGCACCAAGACATTGCAGAATTGAGCGAATGCCTTCTGATTTTTTCTCTCCCACTTCAGCCGTGCGTCACCCGATGCAGGCCGCTCCTCCGAACCATCAAAGTACCCC